AGCTTAGGACCGAAGAAGTTATCCCACAGTTCTTATAAAGTCATAGACTGAACTAAAGGGAATATGGTTATCGTCAAAGTCCATCATGCATAAAGCCCCGGACTGATAACTATTTGCCACGGACCTAATACAAAATTGAAGTGTATAGGTTACTGATATATATTCTTCATCAAACCCATGAAAGCACAAGGGTAGAAGAAATGTTAATTCATGACAAATCTTAAAGATAAATCATGGATTTCTAAAAAGATTCTCTACATGACATTTAAAATCAAATTTTAGAGATCTGTAGAGTTAACCAGCTTGCAACAAACATGATCTACTATAGAGCGCATATCATATTTGTTGGGGGCATTTGTTGACCTAAAACTGTCGTCCATTCAACGACTTAGACTAAAACTACCCAAGGCAATCAACCGCTCAATCCACATCAGCCACGATCAACCGCACATAACCACCCACGATCACACTCTTCTCGGCAGAAACCGCCTCTCACGACACAAAATGACCCCCTCCTCTCAATCGGGATTGAATTTTTGGACTTAAGTGAATTTTGTAAAATAAGAATTTAATTTAAAACCAATTAACGAATAATTCACTTAATTAAATAATGCAATAAAAAATCAAATAAAGTGTAGAATGAATATTTTTTTAGTCTAGTCTATATACAAACCTTCAAATTGGCAACTATCCTAAGGGCTACAGATTAACTCAAACATAGGAACACAAACTTTCTACGTAGCTCTCTCAAACAAATGAACCAACAACACATCTACATGTTGCAAACCAAATTGAAATACATCATGAAGACAGAGAAAATACCTTTTTGGTGTCATTCCAAAGGAGTTCCACGCGAAACCTTCCAAATAAGTTTTTTTTTTATGTAGCATAGATCAATATTGTTCAAACATATTGAGATTTTATACATTCATATATTAAATTAGCACTCAAAGGAAACTTGAGTAGTTTTGAGTCTCACATATCTCCATTCAATAGTAATATCAAATGATAGATCTAACTTAGGAATGAAATTTCTTACCTTCACACTCAGTTATGCATATTATTATAAATTGTTTCCCCTCAAAACTATTGCGAGTGTGCAAGAAGTTCACAACCCATATTCTAGGAGATGTTATGAATATGGCATAGGAAAATAATGAGTTAATTCCTATGAAAAGAAAGATGGTCTAATTTAATCCCTTCAATTATTGGAGAGTTATATAACATGTTTAAATCAATTTTTCATGAGTTGTCAATGCTATGAGATGTCTCCTTTGACTCAAATATACTAGAACACTCATTTGATTGTGCTGATCTAAAAAGCTGAAAACTACGCCACCGAATCCGCAACATGTGTGCAAGCGGACAGAAGGCGTTCGTAGGCCCCTTAAATAAAATCTTGGGCATTGTTAAAATAAAATCATTTGCATAGATTGATTATATTTAAATATTTTAAAATGCCCCTTATATTTAAATATTTTAAAATGCCCATTATGTATTAAATATGATCCCTTAAACCTAAACACCATCCTGCATGTGCTCCGGTCAACATGTTAAAAGCATAAACACCAATGATCGAGAATGTTGCGCAGGGTCAAATGCTACAACCCGCATGTGCTCCAATCGTTATATCTAAGTCCCAAATATAATGATTCGAGAATGCTGCGCTGGTCTAATATTCAAGTTTCATCCTCCTTTTCGAAAGGACTGGAATCGACCTAACTTGAATCATAAAATGCCTCCCAAAATCGTACAAAAATACAAGTGATCTTAATATTACCCCGATGATGGCCGTGTTAACAGAAAATCTCAACCGGAGGGGTCAAATCTCAAATCAAATAACAACTCAAATTTTTGAAATAAAATCTATCATTTAAAAAAAAAACTCAAAACTAAAAATCATCCGCCTCTCGCAATCGCTTATCGGGAGTGATAAATTTGAAATTAACCTCATCTCACAAAGAGCAAATGTATGTCGGATGTATCACTACGATTCATCCTCAAATAGTCTCTTGCCAACAGGGACGTGGCACGTGCACTCTGATCGGATGGTTTTGCCGCAAAATGGCACCATTATATTACGATCACGGCCAAAGCCCGTATGTTCCCTAAAGGCGTCAAACCCTTGAGTTATGAATCATAGGGTATGTTCGATAGGCATAAAGCTTTCTGTGAGCTAAGGTGGATTCAGATATATCGCCTTAGACAAACATCAACCCAGGTCTACAAGGTATTCTTGGACGAAGCAACCCATGGCTGCCGACAAGATACTTTCTGTCAGGTTGGGTCGACTACCTCCTCTGACTAAGTAGACTAGGGATCATGACAGCCCGGGACGACGGAACCATGGGATCTTGATCGGGCTCGCCTTCATTCCCCCCACCACAAGTTTTAAGTTTATAGTGATAATTTATAAATTCCAAATTTCAAAATCCAAATCAATAAGATCAAATTTAAACCCTAAAATTATTGCTATTATACGATAGGTTCATAACCTATACGACATCCTTAACGACTAGCCTTAATCGAAAGTTCTCTTCTGTTATCAGGAGGGGTAATTAACTATAGGGGCTTGCGCCTATAGGAAACCAGAACTCAGATCAAAAAGTCCCACAAAATGAGGGCGAAATTTCTGGGTAGTGTCTTATCTAAAACTCAATCTGCCTTCTGAAAATTCCCTCGGAACCTAATCTCGTTAAAACTCCCTGCCGTGATCGTCACATAAACACTTAAAAAAAAAATAAACCGATGGCGCGGAGAGGCTGGGATCATCATAAACACAAAATGGAATTTTTTGGAGCCTACAGTTTTGTGTTTAAGAAGCAAACAGATTATGCCACAGCTGCATATCACACTCGTCTAAATGCATCAGTTGATTGTGTACGTTTTCTTTTAAGGCAAGGACTTGCTTTTAGAGCCCATGATGAGTCTGACACATCCAGGAATCAAGGAAACTTTCTTCAACTATTACACTTTTTAGCTGAACATAACAATGAGATAAACAATGTGGTTCTAAAAAATGCTACAGAAAATTTTAACTTAACAGCACCAGAAATTCAAAAGAATATCACCAACTCCAGTTAGCCTTGGTATCTGTTGCAAGAAATCATGTTCAAATTGCTCTTTTATTTACAGCAATTGCGAATATGATGAATATTGTTGGTGTTTCATGCAAGCATCGTGACCAACTTCGAGATAAACAACGGGAGAAGACTTTAACGGCATTACATAATGGAGAACTAATTACTGGACAAGGGTTGAATCAAAAAATAACTCTGAAGCGATCAGGTGATACACAGTGGGGATCACATTATGAATCAATTATTAGATTGATTACAATGTTCCCCTCAGTTATTGATATTTTAGAAGTGGTTGTTGAAGATGGTGTAAGTTCTGAGCAAAAAGGTGAGGCATTCGCTTTATTAGGAACAATGTAATCGTTCGAATTTTCATTTTGCTTACTATTGATGAAGGAGTTGCTTGGTATAACAGCTGAGTTGTCACAAGCTTTGCAAAGAAAAGAACAGGACATTATAAATGCTATGTCCTTGGTTGGAATATGTAAAAAAAGATTGCAAGATATGAGAGATTATAAATGGGAAGAGTTTATGACCAAACTAACTTATTTTTGTGAGCAACAAAAAATTGATATTCCTCACATGAATGATAGATGGGTTGTTCGGGGACGGCCTCGTCGTAGAGCTCAAGATATGACAAATTTACATCACTATCAAGTTGAAATTTTATACACTGTTGTTGATATGCAACTTCAAGAGTTAAATGATCGTTTCACAAAGACAAATATTGAGTTACTTTTGTCAGTTGCCTGTTTGAATCCAAATAATGCTTTTTGTGCATTCAATAAAGACAGATTAATTCAAATGGCACATCTTCATCCATGTGATTTTACTCCTGTTGAATTGGAAATTCTAGATAATCAGTTGGAAACTTATATCATGGATATGCAGTCAGATTCACATTTCTCAATGTTAAAAGATATTGAATGTCTTGCTGAGACAATGATACAACATAAGAAGGATATTTTATATCCTCTTATTTTCAGGCTATTGAAACTTGCTTTAGTTTTGCCGGTTGCAACAGCAGGAGTAGAAAGAGTATTTTCTGCAATGGCTATTATTAAAACTCGACTGCGAAATAGGATTGGAGATCAGTGGATGAATGATACTTTGCTCGCCTATATTGAGAAGGAAATATTAGATTGTATTGATAACGATGTAATTGTTAATCTTTTTCAAAAATATGAAGAGTAGACGCTATAAGTTATAAGTGTTTTCTATCTTATATTTAATATTCAATGTTTAAAAAAAAAATTTAAAACTGCCTATGCCGGTCCCAAGCCCGGATGAAAAAAGTTGAGGGATTTTTTTTTTAATTTGTGCCCACTCTAAAAAATATTTCTGGCTCCGCCACTATTCCTCGGAATGTCTGTGGAAATGCCTAAAAGGGCAACATGGAATTAGCGTTAGCATTTCCCATGCAAATTGGATTACTTCTGCAATGCTGTTGCTATGAATGGTAAGGGAAGGATCAATACTGCTGTTATGAATTGTAATTTGATTTCAAGTGACTCATAATTTATAGAAAACTTTACGGAGAGTCTGTTTAGTAATGAGGCCTTTTCTATGTTGAAGAATGTGCTTACATTTCTATGGGAATAAAGTATTTACAGCTCTGGTTAAGGCATGTTGATTTCTTTGTATTTTGTTATTCTAGATTAAGCTGATGGAGTTCATCTAGAGAGAAAAAAGTGGTAGGATTGAACTTTTTACATGTATTGGTTACTGTTTACTTAGATTTATGTTCTTGTAGAATGTAAAAGTCCAGAGTTTGAATCCTTTGCAAATGAACATGTTTCGTCAAATAAATTTAGGCACAGTACAACATCTAATGAATTTTAATGTTAACAAACCAACTATTCTACCTGAACAATGCTAAAAAATTTCGAATTGCTTGATGATTTCTTCTTCTCTCACATACAGGACATTGTCGAAATGGAGTGTGTCGTGCAAGGGATTATTGAAACCCAGGTATGCTCCTAGTTTCCAAATACCTGTTGGTTTTACACTTTAAAATGCATTTAGTGTATAGTCCTGCATCTTATTCTCCCGTTTATGAACATGTCACGCTTAGGAAATTCTGTCCACATTCTTTCCTGACTTAATATTATCGTTGGCCTTATTTTGGTTCGCTGTATGAATCATTCTTTGCCCCCTTCCGCTGTATGAATCATTCTTTCCCCGCTTCATTATAGTTAAATATAGCATGTAACCGTTTTGTTCGGTTTTGCGAAGCCTCGGTCCTTCATCCAATTTTAATTAAATTGTTATTATTTCTAACCATGTTGTTAATGGTTTACCTTTTTATTTTGTTTCATATTAATTCGATCCTTCTGCTTTACATGCCCAAATCACCTAGTTCTATATCTATAATCTTATTGTTACACAGACACCTATAGTTGCATTCAAACTACTAAGAATTTTATTACTGGGGACTATTATTGTAATTTAAAAAGGTTAATTGGCCTGTAGTAACTTAAAAATCTTGGAGGAAGCAGAAGAAAAATCAAATTGAGCAAGCTCAAATGAATATTTCCTTGGAAAATGAGGTCACTAACACAAGAAGTGCATAATTACATTTTTAGCTGTGGCAGATCTGAAGGAGAAGAAAATTGGAGAGAAAAATTGGTACTACAGGTATGTCAGCTATTTCCGGCAGATAAATCTGTTGCAAATGTAGCCGTGTCAGATTTGCGACAGAATACATTCTGATGGTAAAAGTCGTGTTGCAAAACAAGCAAAATCTGTCGCAAATGCCGCCGTAATTTGCGGCTGAAATGCTTTAACAAATTGTGGCAGAATTGCCGCTTCAAATTCGCCATAATTTGCGATGAATTTTTTCGTCACCATATACGATACACCTTCGTCGTTTCGATGTTTGGGTGGAAATTCCGCCGTAAATTCATCGAAAACCTATAGTATAAATAAAAAAAATAGCACCTACAATTTATTATTTAGCTTTTCAACAATAACAATTCAGGCAGTTTAAAATTAGTACTTAATAATCTAAATGTAGTAGTTAATAATGCTAATATTTCAATAAACTCTGTTAAAATAAATATAAAAAACATACTGTTCTACAATCACATTTCAATTGTTCTACAATAATTACAACATTGCTAAATTAAACATAGTTCTTATATATAAAAAAGTAAAGTGTATCGAAAACCTAAGAGGACAATCTAAGCGGAATCTGTATCGTCACTCTCCTGCTTGGCCAATACAGACGCAGGCTGATTTTCACCAATCTGATCTCTCAATCTCTGAAGTTCATCTAGTATCTGAATGTTAATATCCATTTGTGATTTTCTAACATGGCAATTTTGCTATCAAGTTATCCACCTATTGACTATACAAACTCTTATGACTATTTGCAGAGTTGTTGGAGGAAGAAGAGGATTGTCCCTCATAGGTGTAGGCCTGTGAGCCTATTTTATAAACTCGTTTCTTTTGCATTTGCCTACCGCCTACGACCAACTGGAGTAGTTTGAAATATCTGGGAAACCCCCTGAGAATTCCTCACAAACCATAACCTAGCTTTCTCAAAGCCGTATATATTCATCTTTCAAAACATAACATAAGATTCATCATCATATAATCGTCACTTATAATATTTCTAAGTATTGTTATCTTATATACTTTCATAGACCCTCTTCGCTTGCACATCCACTCACTAATGGTCCTCTTGGCACTTGTGGGTGTGACTTTGCAACTCAAAAATAGTAAGGTTCTTTACCCAGCATATCATTCTGCAATATACTTAGATTAGCATGTATAATCAAATAAATTGTTAACATCTGTTAAAATTCATACCAATCTGTTAAAATTCTTACCAATCATCGTTTGTGCTTTGATGGGAAGAAAGAATTTTTAGTTTTTGGTTAGCAAGAAATTACCTGCAACTTAGAAATATTAATAATATTGTCTGCCATTTCTTTACCGCTTGGCTTTGAAATCTTAGTCACGCTTGTTAATAACTTTTGATTCTTGTAGTATGCTGTTTTTTTGTAACGTTTTTGCACATCAATTCAATTTCCCCTCATGCACAATCCATCTCAAGTTTCCACTACAAGATTAAATGTTCAAAATGACTCAGATTAGGCTTGCCCATTTTTTATGTAGGTTTTATAAGATTTTTTAGGTGAAGGTGTTAACTAGATTGATGACCCCTTGAGATAGGGATAAATGGGATTGATATTAAAATTTTTGGACAGATTTGGAGCTGAAGTATTTTGTTTTTAAAAAGAAAATATCGATGGAGGAAAAAAGCGAGGAATTCTAGACCAAAGGTGTAGAATGTTAGGAAAATAAGGGAGTTGTTGTATTAGTTTTGGATAAGTGGTTTGGAGTTACGATTTTTTTTTTTTTTTGAACTTGTTCACAATACAATATTTTCACCCTATAATGGGCTTTTGGCATGGGGATTGTGGGTTTACTAGAGGGTGAAGTTGTAAGGGAATTGTAGGAGTTGTGGAGGGATGTGGAGATGTGTCATACTTGTGAAATTATCCCCAGTCTATGTAATATATTTTTTTAACATTTCTTGTTAATTTTTTGACCTTTTGTTGAATTAATGCATGGTATGTTCACTTTTTCCATCTGTGTTGTTATTGCTCACGAATCAAATGCCTACTTTCATTACTGCATTGCCAACCCTTTTGGCGTGGGGATTTGGGTACCATGAGTTTTTTTTTTTTTTAAATAAGAAAAGAAATGAGAGGGAAAGGGCTATAGATGAGAGAGAGCGAAAGTTAAAATATATATGTAAAAATAAAATGAATTCCAAGTTAGATTTAACTTTTAGAAGAGGAGGGGATATAAAGATCTCTTATGTCATCAGTGTTTCTCAGTTAGTTAGATCTTTTTGATAAAGCTCTTTTTAACTTAAACATATTGAATTTTATACACATTTTTATTTGCAATTTTAAATGTAGGAAAGATATGTCTAGATCTATTAGCTTAAATTCTTAAGATGACAATGTTTAAATTTTGATAAATAAGGAGCTTATTTTACTATAAGCATTTAATATAAAAATAAAGAAGGCTTCGCAAAGTTTTGTTTGCATCAAGGGAATTTTTTTATTCTCTTAAAATGGTGCACTCCCTTATCAAGACTTATCACTCATGAAAAAAATATTAAAGATAGATTCATACCAGGGATATTTTTTAGGCTATATATGTAGAGCTCACTATCCAGATTTCAATACTATCACAATAGGCCTGCAAGTAATGCACTTGATATCCTTGCTATTAATATGAAATTAATTTTTCATATAAAGGGATTTACTAACCTTGAAAAAAATTTCCTTGGTTTTCCAAATGCTTTAAGTAGATTTGCTCTTTGCTAGATTCTCTTTGATACAAAAAATAATGGTGGTGGGTAGCCTTTTGATGATATTGATGGCTATAGAAGACTAAGAATCATTGTTTTAATGTTCAAATAAGAGTATTAAAATTTAAGGTGAAATATTTAGGGATTTAAAGGGATATACTAATAAGAATGCCAATTCTAACCCAGTTTGAATTAATTTGTGCTGATTTGGAAGATCATTTTTAGGGATTGAGTTTTATGTGGGGTAAATGGCTGAAAATGATGGTGAAGTGTTAGCTTACGATATGAATTTATGTTCCGAAGTTGATGATAGAGTTTGATAGAGTTCATAGGGATGTCGGGGTGGAGGGAACAATACTTGGTCTTAATGTTTCCTAGTTTGGCCTAGAGCTATGAGGAAGTGTTAGGAATTGTTCTAAGATTTTGGTTGCTTGTTTATTGTTGTTGAAGGATGCTTATGAAATGGAGAAAAAGATGCGAAGAGTTTGAAGCACGTGTTTAAAAGGATTAATAATAGCTTAAAGAAACATAAAGATAATTATCTAACTCAACAAGTTAGGCAATCTATTTGAATTTATCAATTATCAAATAAATGAAGAGCATTTCTTCATCAAAATATATGCTCTTCATCAAAGTATATGATATAGTATTTTATTCCATATTTACAGGCATTACGAGATTCTTAGGCAACCACTTTGGAGGAGAAAATTGAAGGAAAAAAAAAAGTAAAAAAGGGGTCGGTTCTCATTAGGGAGGAAGAGTTCCAACCACTTATTAGTAATATTTCATCCGCACCAAACATGTCATGGTTTTCCATACAAAATTCTAGGTAAAAAAATAAAACACAAATTACATTTAAAATATTTTAAATTATAAGCTCTTGATTGAGCTCTTCTAATTAAGTATTTTTTCTTTGATTTTTTTCCTTATACTTTAGTCCTAGCTCTTATAATTGATCTTTTATCTTAATTATTTTCATTCATATGATACGCTATATCATTACCTTTTTTGTTCTCTTAAATCTTGCAATCCATTATTCTTTGGCCACAATCTTCTCGAATTCCATCTCCATAACTTGATTATTTCTGATTTTTTCAATTTTGAATTCATATATTTGCTTAATAATCTTATTAACATTATACCTTCACTTATGTTTATTTTAAAAGCTCCTGTCTATAAATAAATGCGTACCTGTTGTCTAAATTTTGGTAATGCTAGCGACAGTTCTATTGACAATCCTTTCCACATTCTTTCAAAGTAGGGCTTAGCAGCCCAACTAGCTAGGTCTTAATACATTGCTTAGTTTCACTATGGGCGCTACTGATGCTTTTATAACTAAGAAATTTAAAAAAAAAAGGAATGATTATATCAGAGAAATAATATGCATAGTTTCTCTTGAAAATAAAATAATTGAAAATATATAGGTTGTTTGTATAGATATATTGAAGGATAGAAAATGCACCTATTAGAAGAACAAATAAAATTAATTTTAGAAGATTAGGAAGATCATATTGATCTAAAATAATGTGGATACAAATTATTCAATATTATTTATAGAGAATATGTTTAAATCCTTAAATAGCACTTGAAAAAAATGAAAAAGAAATCTGGATTCATGAAGTTGGCTCCAAATATAGGGGTAAAGCTAATAATGATAATTTTTATAATCTGGTTAACTGTTTCCATTTGATCATTCTGGCAATTATACTTTTTCAGCATGTTAATGCCCTGGAGATCCTTCTTCATGGTCTTTGTGGTGTTCCCAAAGAGCAAGTCAGAGTCCATGAACTGTGCCTAAAAAGTGGACCAAATCTTGGTGAGCAATAACTCTGAAGCAGCTTCATCATATTTAGGCTTCGTTTGGGACGACTTTCTTACTGCTTCTGAAAGCAGCTTTTTAGTACAACAAAAAAAAAATTTATACTAAAAAATTGCTTTAACAAACAGTAAGAAAGTCGTTCCAAACGAAGCCTGAAGCTTTCATGTCATCAGATATATGAACTGATTTCTCATAACTTCAGGTGTTGTGCCATCTGAGGTTCGTCTATTGTGTGATTTGGCGCACCCAACACCATCATGGTAAAAACTTTCATTTTTATTACATATTTCTGAGCACCTTATCAACATTGGCATTATTTAAGAGAAACTAAATCTAAAAACTTTAAAAGGACTGTGAGACATGTTGGGGGTGCAATGAGAGGATCTGGAGCCGACCAAATTTCAGTTTTGGTTAGAACTGTGGTGGAAAGCAAAGTGAGCAATAATGTGCTGCGTTTCTTCTACGGCCTTGGCTATAAATTGGACCATGAAATCTTGAAGGTGGGCTTTGCATTTACCTTTCATCGAGGTGCACAGATCATTGTCACTGTAACTTCAGCACATAAAATGCCAAAGCTTCATGCCATAGAGGAAGCTTTGCCCATTACTCCTAACATACACATGGTGGAGATTACAGCCCCTGCAACTGCTGAAAATTATAATGAAGTTGTCGCAGCAGTTTCGGCTTTTTGTGAATACTTAGCTCCGTAAGTGTTTCATGTATGAGTTATTCTGGTTGGCAACTGGACTTAATATTTTATTCTTTCACAGGTTATTGCATCTCTCAAAACCAGGAGTTTCGGCTGGCATCGTTGCTACTGCTACTGCGGCTGCTGCATCGCTAATGTCAAACAGTGCCAGTAAGCCCTTGTAATGACTAATTTCCACAAAAATTAGATTGTAACTTGAAAAGTACTCTTGTTGTTTGTTATATTGTGGTGCTTGACTTCAAATTAGCTTTAGATGTATCTGGGATGGGTTAATTTAAGCCATGCATAATTTTCTTATGTTCTTTTCCATATAAAGAAATATTGTATTAACTGATCCTTGTTGTATATTAATGTGATTGACACCTACAAATATTTTCTCATTTGAATATTTCAAGAGTCATAAATTATTATGGTGAGGATGTGATATTGGGGTTCCAATTTTGTCTGTGTTTATCAATAATGTTTTTGGCTTGATAATTGCGTTCAAGTCATCTTATTGGCTTATTTATTTAATAAGCTGATTAAAAATATTGCTTCAAAATTATTCGAGGCTCACTCATGTCATTTAGATCCGCGTTCGCCCCAAGCGAAAAGCTTTTTCGAAGCAGGGAGGAACTCGCTTTTGACCCCTTTATTTGGTGAAATACCTGGCAACCTACTTGTATGAATTGACAGGGCTTCTCCTCATGAGCGGACTTGCTCTCTCATTGCTAAGAGAAATTACTCCATGTGTAATTTTATGTTCGGGTTGTGAGTAAACACAGTGTTTATGCATTATATATAAAAGTACATATTGTATTTTTATAAATAGTATTTATACATTGTGTACACTCTCATGTCGGGATATAACTCTATGTCTAGACTCCATGCATGATAATTTTTCCATTGTGAAAGGATTTAAATGTATCTTGGATTATGACGGCCTCTTAGAATTCTTTTCAATATTTCCTTAGGTTAATAAAATTAAAATAACTAAAGCTCTTTAAAATTCTGAAAATTTTACACTGGAAAACAAATAAAATATACACATATTGATGTTCTGAAGATTTTTATATTATGGCCCGACTGCTTGAGCCAATTTGAGCTAATCATTATGCAAATACATGACTTTCTTAATGATTTTAATATGCTCTAAAGTACTATATAATCTTCTCTTAAGCTTGTCAAGAGTGTTTTTTTGAGCTTCGCTAGTCATTGGATCTTTCATCAGTTGATCGTGAATCATACATATTAATCCACAAAATCTTTCAATAGTGAAATTACTTGAGATATGACACTAGTACAAGAATTTGGTAGGAGTGAATGAAAACGAGAATTAAGCACAACTAAGTTCTTTAACTCTACACAACAGTACTTAAGCATTAATTCCAACCAGAACATATATCACTCGAGCATTAAAGTGATTGAACAAGTAAATTTGTAAGGTAAACTAGCTATAAAGATATTCATGTGGTTCAACCACTAACGAAGCCTATGTACATGTTCAATCCTCATCCAGATTAGGATTCTCACTATTTTTAGTTTGCATCATCTCTCTCTTTAATAGGAGAAAATCGAAGACACTCCTCGCTACATGAGTACTACCCAACTTCTTACACTCCCATACAAGTTAATGAAATCACTCATAGTATCTGTTTCGGGCTAGAATATTTACGGCGGTAGCATGAGAGTTTTTCGTCCTAACGATGCATGAATATCTAGCAAACAAATAAATAGTTAGAGAGAGCTTTGAAACATCATAATTTTTTTACATAAAAAACTCAAAAAGGGAAAAATCATGTGGTCTGACTCAGATGATAAGATTCTACTAGATTTGAGGGAGTTACAAAGGTTGGACCGTCTCTTAACTTGGAGATGATGAAATTACAACAGTTTAGAGAGTCCGTCGGACTCTGCATGAATACTCAGGAGCTTGTAATGTCTGTGGTCGGGTAAGAAGTTTGGTGGCAGCGGTCGGGAGAAGGCTGACAGAGTCAGCAATGGGACGGAGGATTGGCAGCAGTTTAAGGTTTGACAATGCTCGGTGTTTCGACAGAGGTCTGGTAGCAGTCAAAGGTCTTTCGATGGTTGGAAATTTGATGAAAGTCCAGTGTCAGTTGGTGGTCCAATGACAATCTGCTATCCACAACCATGTGAAGGTCTGTCTAAGATTAGTTTCCAGGTGATGGTCCAATGGAGATCAGTGGTTGAGTGTTGGTCTGACGGTGGTAGGCAGCTAGACGGAAGACAGATGACAATCGACGATTTAATGGTGGTCGAGTGATGGTTCGACAATGATCGTCGAACCAATGACAATAGGCGGCCGAGCGAAGGTCTAGCGATGGTGCCTAAGTAGAACTGTAGGATCCTTGAAGCCTCAAAGCTCTCCAATCTCTAGCAAAAGGTCCCCCTCATGAAGGGAGTATGGTCCTATTTATTATTTTTTAAATGGATAAGATATAGGGCAGGTATGGAGTGCTCCATCAGGCAACCCATTCTGATTCCCTCTATCATGGAGTTTTTTCAAGCATTTAAGTACTATAATGATATCAAAATAATGCAATATTGGGCTCGTTGTAATTATCTCGTCAAGCTGGTCAATTTGACTATAAGCATGACATACTTTGAGATCTTTTAATCATCCAATTTATTCTTTAACCTTCTAAATATGATTTGGTCCCCTAATTTTGATCCATTGGGCTCGGATTGGACCGATTTTGGTATCGTTGAGCTCGTCTCCTTGAGATGTTCAATTTGGCTATAAACTTGTTAAAGTTAAACTTTGGATTGTCCCAAATTTTATTTTAGAAGTTGCCAAATAAAATATGCCTTAAGATTCATGCTCGATCAAGGCAATTTTTGATGATGTATTAGTTACCTCCATGTTTTCAGATGTCATAACTTGCTGAGTCTGAAAATATGTGTTTAACTGTTTTACAAAGTTGTGATGAAAAATTAAAATTATTAGATAATCATGAGGAATGATTGCTCCCAAGATATCAATGTGGGCATCCCCTCTGGGTTACGAACCAAGAGGGCGCGCAAATTGGAAAGTGATGTTAAATACCTATTGCAGGGATTAAGATCGGGCACACTTAGCCAAGCTCTAATTCTCCCTCAGTGGAAAGTGATGTAATTGACTAAAGGTTAGAGCGCCCTGACTAGTATCTAAAGAAAGTGGTTTTAATTTTCCGACAATTTTGGTAAAACCTAGAGGATCCATCTAATATACTCTCTCTACTTTCTTTTCTACTTCTTCTCCTTTCTTTATGCCGCAATAAATTTCTTCCTCAAAGTTCCTTAATACCATGATTATGAAATTATTCAAGTATTTATCTATTTATTGCTTTTTTCTTCTCCAGGTAGGTCGAAAAACATGCCAGAAGTTGTTCATCTTACTTGTGAAGTGTTAGAGCTTGAGCTAGTCCCTTCGAAGGCAAATGACACTAGGAAGTTAATACTGATTGCCAAAGTTGCATCCTCTATTACTTCAGATAATTTGGTTATTATTCATAAAAGGTTTTATCTACCCAATGAGTTAGTGATTATTGCACATGAGCATAGGCCCCTCCTCATGGATTTATTACCATATACGAGCTGATATTTGGCGCCGAGTTGAGGTTCCCTACAACCCCTAAGTTGCTTAAGATTTTAAGGGCATGTGATGTCACCTTGACCCAATTTTTATGTACAGCTATCACAATTATTATGGGTTTGACGATTTTCTACAGGGAGTGTGAATGCAAGGCTGATCATTGATCATTTATTGAAGGTGTGTAGGTTTACAAGTGATTCTTGATTGCATGTTTCATGAAACGATAAATAATGGTTGGAAGTTTTTAACATGTGATCCCTCTAAGAATTGGTCCAGCTCATTCCTTTTATGAAGAATGATTGGGGCCTTCCTAAGAGATATGGGAGGTTAAAGGATCAGCCATACTTTCCTTATATATGAGAGGAGGAGATATTAAAAACTCTTAATTTTTTTGATATAAAAAGTCTTCACGATGAGCTACATCAAGAAGAGAAGAGTGAATGATGTAGATATTCATTCAAATATCGTTTAGAAGGATAAAGGGATGATTGATCATTATTCATAAAGAAGAGAAGAGTAAATGATGTAGTGACCATGCCAAGTGATAGCAAAATATATAAAAAGGTTGTTCTTCCTTTGATGACTGATATTTTTTCCCTTAATTTAGATAGTGAGATTTTCCTCGAAGAGGTGCTAAAGCATGCTTGTACCAGACAACAATGTGTAAATGATGCAGTTAGTTACATTAATCCCCTTCTTCTTCTTTTTCTTCTCATATGTTCATAATTGTATATCTACTACAAGATCTGGAAGATGGATGTGGAGTCCTAATTTGGTATAATGTTGGATGAGTGGAATGCTAAGTTTAAGAATGTTAAATATCTATAAGGAGGGTATGCATGAAGATTGAAGGCAAAGATTAAAGAGATGTCAGCATTGAAAAGCCAACTAGAAGAGTGTCAAGCTGAAAATGATGTCTAACATTCTTTCTTTACAAAATAAAAAAATATTACTGCTCTCATATTGATTTGATTGAGGCTCTTACAAATGCTAATCAGTGAAATGAAGCTTTGAAAGAACTTGTAATAGAGAAGAGAACCCTTCCAGTTGATAAAGAATCTCTTGAGAAGGAGAATAAAGAACGATAAGATCATCACATGGAGAAAGAGGCAGTCATATTAGATGTTGATGCTCATATATAGGCCATATCACTGAAGGCCTTAGAAGAATTCATGAAGTCCTTAGCATATCACCGAGAGATTTGTAATTGTGCTGAAGACACATATGATAAACTGTTTGATGTTGAAGCGAATGATCTGAAGCATTAGTGCCTTAAGGACGGCTTTGTTCATGACTTTTGAAAATGAGTTTGGTTGTTACAATACAAGACAGGGGTTGTGGTTGAAGGGTTATCTCCTAGTTAGGCTTCCGAGTACTCCCCTCTTGATTTTGATAATAATGGTGTTGAAAGTGAGTTGAGAAAGGCCTTGTCCAGTGGTGATGAAGATATTAATATCATGTGATATTTTTATTATGGAGTGTTCTAGGATACCTGATTATTTTTTTTTATTTATCTTAGCAATTTTTGTTTGTATATTTGGCCACTTGAGATGTCTACTCTTGATTTTAGATTAATGATATTTTTTTATAGAAAAATAGCTGGTTATTTTAAGGTTGTGTGATTCATAATGAAGCTTCTCACATAGGTAGACTTGCATCTTTGGAGGCTAGAGAGAGCTTATCAAATATTATTCAAACTATCCCAAGCTATGCGTTGGGAAGTTGCTTGATGAAGTTATCCTATTAAGAAGAGGTTGAGAGACATTCACCTAAGATATTTGACCCATCTAAGGTTG